ATTCAAAATTTAGTTTTGTAGAAGCGAAATCTTTCGATAGGTCTTCAAAGGGTTGTTAAAATTATATATATATATATATATATATATAGTAAGTTTAGAGGGCAATTCGTTGCAATTCAAAGGATCACTACACATATTTTATGTAAAATGTGGGACTTCTCAAATCTTACGATACCATCCAAACTCTCCTTAGATCTATGGTTATAGATACCAATTATGTATGCATTCACTTGATTTATTTCGGTTTGTTGGCCTTAATTATTGCCACTTTGGCGTGAGATTATATCAAATTAATACCGGTGGTTCTTTAATCATGCCGTGGAATTGATAGAAGAACAATGCTATATAAATTTAAAAATTAAACTTGATAATTACAACTATTAATTTCATTGTAACTCTTTTTCAAGATAACGTGAGTCAAGTCCACCCCAAAAAACATTTTACAATGATTATTTAGTGCATCACAATTGGTATTAGAACAATTACCCGGCCTCCTTCTTGTTTATATACAGTGATAAATTTGGACGAAGATGACATTGCAACATACACAATTAAGAGCATAGATGACCCTCGTACATTGAACAAAACCTTGTACTTTCGGCCACCAGAGAACATCCTTTCCCAAATGGAGATGATTGAGATGTGGGAGAAGCTTATAGGGAAGAAACTTGAAAAAGTTAGCATCTCTGCAGAAGATTTCCTTGCTTCCATGTAAAACTAAAACCCAGATTCTCTCTTGACCATTTTGCTTAATTTCCATCATCTTTTTTTTATTTTTTCCTTCTTAATAAAGTCGTATTTTTTGGGGTTTCATGGAATGTTTGTGTAAATTGTGAATCAGAAGATTAGAAGTGCAAGCACCCCTTTTAATTTTGAAATCATTCATATGATACTAGATCAATAAATAAATAAATTATAGTACAATCTTTTGTTACTATACCAGTAAAATGGGTTATTCATGTCTACCACGAACTTAACCTATTTCTTATTCATACAAATTGACATGTCATTTTCATATTTGTGGCATTCGTTTTAGTGCGTAAAATTGAATCTCATACACACACACAGATACACATATGTTATGGTAGTCATACAAAATTTAAAAAAAACAAAAGTTAGATTGTAAAAATAAAATAAGTAATTAAGTTTGTTATGATAAGCAAATTAGTGTAATCATGAACATTCATAGTTTTAGTCATCATCCAACAAAAATAAAAATTAAAAACAACCTTTTTCTGGTGTTATTAATAAGATGATGCATTGTTACTGAAATTATAAAATAGAAGATGAAAAGTTAGAGTTTGATATTATTATTCAAGTTACATCAAAATAAATTTTATACTAAATAAGACTCACCATATTTTTATACTACATCAATCATATAAGAATTCGAGTTTGATTATCAACTAATAAAAATAAACCTAACTTTTTTTTAACCGTTAAAGTTACCTTTTTTGGATATCTATAAATAGTAATGAATTTCATATTAATAAGGTTAGTTTGCATTTATGCTTTCTTTTAAGAGTAAAGTAGTCCAACAAAATTTAATGTTAATCAAGGTTTATTAATATGAGTTTTGCATTAAATATGGTTAATATTATCATTATTTTTTATTTTTGGGATAAAAGATTCAAACAAAATTGTACTTTTATTAATAGTATGTATATATATAGATATATGAGTTGTATCTATCTAAACCTGGTTTCTGTATTTCTATGATGCAGGATTGGAGCATGCACAAAAAGCAGGAGCTGGGCATTACTACCACAAGTTTTATGAAGGTTGTCTGACAAACTTTGCATTAGGGGAAGAAGGAGAAGAAGCTTCAGAGCTCTATCCGGAGGATAATTACATCCGCATGGATGCATACCTGAAATGTTATCTTTAAAGCTCTGTTTGGGACGGGGAGAGAAAAACGCTATAGAAAGGAAGCCGTAATGAAGAATTTCAAATAATTTCTTTCCTGGTCCAAACAGAGCGTAAATCTTGCGTTTAAGGCTTCATTTGGGTCTATGAGTGCCAATATCTGTATTTTTATTCTACTATTCCTTCCTCAAATCTCGAACCAAATGTCATATTGATATTAAGTCTTTATTTCACCGTTTTCTATGTTTCCCATAATAACTGGAATGGAATTTGTTTTTATGTTTCAAACCCAATCCCTGTGCACGGATACTTCGTCAAGGTAAACGCACCCGTATCTGATACGATATTCATCGGATACTCGATGATACGTATGGAATATACATCATCCATATCTAATAATTAATAAAATATGTGAATATTTCGCAGATATTTCTATACATCAAGTAAGATATACAATTTTCAATTTTAAGTTATACCCCTTCTTTAGAGTTCACATACAATTTAAAACACCAATAAAATTCTATTTGATTTTGAAGATACGAGTGTTTTTTAAGTATTATCTATTATTAAATGTTAAGAGAGTATAAAAAAAATGAGTCACATACACTATACTTTTAAAAATAAATGCTTGTAAAACCAACTAGTTAAATGTGGTTATGGTTCTTTTAATTGGTCATGCTCATTTTATGAGCATATCATAATGAGACGATATTACATCTTTTTCATGATAAAAATTCATAATTTTACTTACTAATGTTAAAAAACTATTGAAAATTTGTAATTTTTAAGTCGTTAAATAATAGTAAAATATAAAATATATTTTATTATAGACGTATCTTGGCCGTACAGGTATCATATTTTTTTAAATTTGGTCGTTTCGTTGTATCCTTATCGTATCGTACCCGTGTCACGTATCCGTATCCGTACTTCCTAGCCCCCCTTTTCTCTTTCTCTCTCTCAACATATCTATTATTTTTTTTTTAACAAACAATAGAACCAATCCGATATAACCACTTAAAAGTGAAAATAACGGAAAGGCCTATATACTCACACACTCAAAGCTATTCGATGTGAGATAGCCCCAATATATCTATTATACTAGGAATAGTTAGTGTTCTATTAAAAAGAAATAGTTAAAATTAATTTATTTTTTACTAGGAATAGTTAGTGTAGATTTTTTGAACATTTTATTAAAAATAAAATAATGCGTATTTTTTAAGGGTAATATAGTCAATCAAAAAGTTTAATAGAAAATGATATTTATACATCAAGAATAAATAATTAAAAGAGATTATAGATAATTTGGAGATTTAAATGCATAAAATATAATTATAATTTAAATATTTAATTTTAAAATGATAGAGTGATATTTACAATCCTTTATAAGGGTAAAATAGATATTTAAAAAATTTTCATCTTAAGGTATTTTTATTAGTAAAAGGGATAGATATAAATATTTATATAATAAAATACAATACAATTCAAATTTTAAAAGATAAACAAATTGACTTTTGTTTTTCGCAGTTGAGATCTCTTTAAATTTTATTTTAAAGTTAATCTAACGGTTGATATTAATAATTTAATACCCCAAATTTAATAGAAAAAATAAGTTTTTAACGGTGTGTTTGAGGTAACTTTTTACAAGTACTTCTAAAATTTATAATTTCTCATAAATATTTAAAAAAACAAATAGTGTTTGGAATCACCCCCACCACTATCACCCCCACTGTCACCCCCATAACTACCACCACCACCGCCACAACCACCTCTGCCACAACAACCATAACCACCGTCGCCGCCACCACTACACTTATCACCCCGCCACCACTACACTTATCGCCCTACCATCGCCACCACCACAATAATCACCCCACCACCACCCCCCACCGCCACCATTAACTACCAATTGCTACCACCATTGTCCATCGTCCACCACCACTATCACCTCATTCTTATATTATTACTTCTATCACCATCATCCCACTACCATCGATGCCCATCGTCAGCACCCACCAACACCATTGTTGCCCACCACCCATTGTCATCCAGTCCCACCACACTTACCATCATCGTTATTCGTCACAACCTACTACATTGTCGCCCAACCAAAAATACTCGTCGTCATCCACCACCGCCCACCATTGTCACCAACACCGTCGTCGCCCCACCACCACCATTACTATCGCCCACAACTACCCACATCCACCACTACCACCAGCGTCGTCACTCATGACTGCCACTGCCACCATCATCACCTAAAACCCAGGATTACCATTACCGTTGTCACCCACGACTGCCACCATTACCACGGTTGTTACTACCTACCACCAACACTGTCGCCCACTATCACTACCACTGTTCACTTCCAGTACAACCCGTGCTTAAATTCATTTTTTTTTCCTATTTGTGATTTGATTTTTTTTTTAATACAAATATGTTTATTATTAACTATTTTTTTATTACTTCGTGCCTTTAGGTACATGCAATAACTAATCTATATAATAAAATATAATAAAATTTAAATCTAAAAAAATAAACAAAATGACTTTTACTTTTCGCGGTTGAGATCTTTTTAAATTTATACTTTAAAGTTAATCCGATAGTTAATACTAACATCTCAAATTTAATAGGGAAAATAGGTCTCTAAATGTGTGTTTGAGATAATTTTTTAAAAGTGTTTATAGAACTTATGACTTTTCATAAATACTTTAAAAAAAGCGTAATGTTTGAAACTGGCCCCCCACCACTACTACCACCACCACTACAATCGCCGCCATCACACCACCATTACCACTGTCGCCACAAGCCGAAATATGAGAAAAATTTTGAGCGTAACAATTACCCCACGTTAGAAGTGTCATTTTGTATAGTCGTCCACTAACAAGTGAATCACGTAAAATTCAATAATCATCTTCATATAAATATAAATAAAATTGGCTTAATTTATCTATTTTTTTTTTTTTGACAAAAAATTAAAATAGTTGGCGTGCACCACCTAGTACCTTAAAAGTAAGTTTGTGATTGTTTGACTGATTTATATATTAGGTACAAACAAAGCACAGCCATGACCAACATTTTCTTTCTATAAAGTCTTCAGTTCCTCTCAACTCTTGCAAGACAAATAATAGGATCCAATGGCAAAGAGCAAGGTTCTAATAGTTGGGGGCACTGGGTTTATTGGTAGGAGGATGGTTAAGGCCAGCTTAGCCCAGGGACACCCAACCTATGTCCTCCAGAGGCCAGAGATCGGCCTGGACACTGACAAGCTGCAGTTGCTGCTCTCGGTCAAGGAGCAAGGTGCTCGACTCGTCGAAGGCTCGTTTTCCGATCACCAGAGCCTCGTGGATGCGGTGAAACAAGTCGACGTGGTCATCTGCAACATATCCGGCGTGCACTTCCGGAGTCACAACATTCTGATGCAACTTAAGCTGGTTGAGGCCATCAAAGAAGCCGGGAACATCAAGGTATGCATATGTTTTATCTATCACTTACATATATGTATATTATATAGGTATGTTTTTATATTACATTGGCATTTATCTCAATCAGATGGATATGATAATGATGGAGGCTCATAATTAGATTGTCTATAATACCCTACCCTCCAATATCCCCTAGTAAGAAAAAGAAAAGAAACGAGGTGTTATCGTTTGCCATAGCATGCCATGGTGTTCAGTTGTTGAGTTTTTGATAGAGACTGCAACCTCATCAACAATAACCATACGGCCGAAGACACTCCACTCCGTAATACTTAAAGTCGAGCATTGATTGTGGAGTATTTTATTTTAAATAATAATAATTTTTTTAATTAGGTAATTTAAAATTAAAGCGGGACATAGAGATAATAAGAAAGGGATAGGTGTGAGTTAGTGAGATTATCTAGCATTGAGGAGTATGTTGGTTAGATTGTCTAAAATTGAAAGCCGTGCAAGAAAGATAATGTTTATTGGGCAAAAATATTTATTTTGAATGCATTTTGTAATGTTAAATAAAATTAGAGAAAATTTGAATTAATCTCAATTACGATTGTGTTTTTATAAATGTGTAATTCAAATTGTTAGCTGTAATATTAAACAGATAATAAGAAAGGCGAATTTCATTTTTTACCTTGAAATATTTTAAAAATTTTAATTTATATCCTTAAACATTATATTTTTCACATTATAGCCCTCAATATATCAAAAATATTACATTGTGATACTTCTGTTAATTTTTTTGTTAATTTTTTTATCGGTGTCAATGGATTGGTTTTTTATAAAAAAAATAACGAAAACTAACAAAAGAGTTATATTGCAATACTTTTTGATACGTTAAAAATATATAATACAAAGAAGTTAATCTTTGAAGATACAACAAAGTAAAAAACTTAAAATTTTTCATGACGTAAAAGTTTGAAAAATCCTAATAAGAAAAGAAAGGGTGTGATGGGGGTGTGGAAAAGCTAGCGAAATGTCAATATGTTTTTTGAACTTTGAAATAGTCAAACGTTTCTAGATGAAATCTACAAAGATTCTACCATTTGTCTTCGTTCACATCTGGCATTATTATTGTAACACATCTCCTACCACAAGTTTTCTCCGACTTTTGTGATTTGAAAGTCATATGTTTCGAGTCACATCTGTAAGTTTTCTGTGTTCGACATAAAATTGCATATGCCATGTTTTTTTTTAAACCTTGTAATGTTGGGACTCTGGTGCATTGAGTTATGCATAAAATTGTATATACACCATACATACAAGACAGACACCTAAAATATTATCTGCATCAATGTCTTTAGTAGGTAGGGCAGGTTTTTTTACTCTTTAATTCATGGCCTACCTCTAAAATAAGAGATCCATCATGTATCAAAACTGTGGCTACAAATAACTCAACAATATCAGGCAAGTGTGGCTATATCACAGCCATTGCTGTGTCTACACCTGAAAGATAATTTAGGGTCACGTCTTTTTTTTTTTTGGTGTAACAGTTAAGGGTGTTTAAGTCAATTTACGCACACCTCGACTGATTCCCTCCCCAGTCCGGCCAAAAACAGGTCATCTATGCCAGAACTAGAATATTCATGAGATATAAATCGCTCGTGTCCGTCACACTCGAATTTTTGAATTTGTTGTTTTTTAATTGATGTATTTGTCTTATTATTAGAGATATACAAATCTAATAGTATTGTGTGGAAAATTGTAGCGTTTCTTGCCATCAGAGTTTGGGATGGACCCATCACGAATGGGACATGCACTTCCACCAGGAAACGAAACGTTTCTTGAGAAAATGGTTGTGAGAAAGGCCATTGAGGACGCTGGAATTCCTTTTACTTACGTATCTGCCAATGCCTTTGCATGTTACAATGCTGCTAACCTGTGTCAACTTGGCACACTCTTGCCTCCACGAGACAAAGTATGCCTCTATGGAGATGGCAATGTCAAAGGTACAAGTTCATGCCTTTTGCATTTATAATTAATTATACATCTAACGATATAGCATGTGTTTTTAGTAGGGGTGCAACTCATTCGAATTAAAAATCTCAATATGAACATAAGCTGAGATTAGTATGAAATGTTTAGTACTTGGACACAGATTTTTCGTACTCAAATTTGACCTAGCACAAAGAATCCGAACCCAGTTTAAATTCAAGCAATGTTGGGGTTGTTAATACCCATAGGAGGTCAAGTAGCCGAAATCTAGCCTGAGTTGTATAATCCGAGAATTAAATCGAGGCTCAATCTGATTCAAAAGTCAAATTCAAATTGAATTTTCATTTCAGCCTTAAGTATGTTACCCATGCTCAAAACTTTCAGCATCACATGTTCAAAACTTTAAGCATCACAATTCTCGGGTTGAATTCAAAGCCAGACTAAAGGAAAATCAAGTAATTTATAACTTGAATTGAGCACAGATTGACCTCTTAACCCATCCTGAATTACACTTTACCTTTTGATGACATTATTTGTTTCGGTAACATCCATAACTTTGGTTATCTGCTATGCCAGCAATATTTTTGGACGAAGATGATGTAGCAACATACACAGTCAAGACTATAGATGATCCTCGTACATTGAACAAAACATTGTACCTTCGCCCACCACAAAACATCCTTTCTCAAAGGCAGTTGGTTGAGATGTGGGAGAAATTTATAGGGAAGGAACTGGAAAAGATTAGCATCTCTGCAGAAGATTTCATAGCCTCCATGAAAGGTTTGTCAAAGAAAAGTAAAACACCACGGATTCAATTACCATGTATTTTATGCAGAACATAGCTTTGCATTTATGTTCAAATGCTTCACAAATTGCAGATATGAACATTGGTGACCAAGCAGGAGCTGGGCATTTCTACCACATGTACTTTGAAGGGTGTCTAACAGATTTTGAAATAAGGGAAGAAGGAGAAGAAGCTTCGGAGCTCTATCCGGAAGTTGAGTACACGACGATGCACGCATACCTGAAACGCTACATTTGAAGAGTCTGTTTTCCCTGGTTTTTATCTGGTCCAAAGCGCGCATTTTTCTTTCACTTTCCCTTTGAACCACATGGAGCTTTAAATCATGTGGCATTTTGTTCAAATATGCAGACTATGGTTTCATTTCTAGCGTTTGTCAACTACAAAATGATGTTCATGTTTTAGTTTGTTTCATGAATAAAAGGTTATGCATAACTTTGTCTTATTACTGTCTGAATAAACTACGAAGTGATAAGCAAACTTCTGTAGTTAGCCAAGTTCAGTAATCTTTAAGTTACATGCTCTCTCTCTCTCTCTCTCTCTCTCTCTCTCTCTCTCTCATTGAGACCAGTGGCTAAGACAGAATGGGCTAGGAAAATACAACCTAACAAACAATGTGTTGGATAAAGTTCCCCCTGGTCCGGGGATATGGGAGGTGACAAAAGTTATTTTGGGAGAACGGATATCTCCATAGATAGGCATGTAGTACCTACAGTCCGAGTTTCTGATTGAATCCCACTATTGGTGGGAGTGTACAATTAATTTCCTGGATGGAAGTAAGAAGATAATTAGTTACAACATGAATCAAGAAGGGAAAAAACTGTGTTCAATCTTGTTTCCTAATAGAACCCTTCAAGTTGGAGCGTGAAGTTTAAGAACGTCTAACTTGGACTTTGAAAATGTAACTGATATTTACCCGCTGAATTGGTGAAGATATCGGCCAATTGTTTGGCACCAGAGAGATGGGCAGTGCTTAAGAAGAAAGAAGTAATGAGACTATCTCTTGATTATTTCTGCAGATAAGGGATAATTTCCTGGAGCTCTTCACAATCTTATCGAAAATCACATTCATTAACAAGCAGGTTTGCAGAAATGCCTTAATCAAAACCACCAGAAAATCTGGAATCGGTAGTAGAACCCTGTTTTTGGAGCTTTAATCAACCAACATAATAAGAACTTTTCCAAAAATGCCCCTAAATTTATCGATGATCCACAGATTGATGTGCTAAACATACAAGACGGTCAAGCATTTCTAAGAGAAACCATGCTGAGGATATACTTCAATGTCATGTATTTCCAGATACTATGTCAAGATTATTTATACCACCAATAGGTATACCCCAATGAAAATACCAACAACATCAACAACTATATTTTAGGATAAATTATGGAATATAAATAGCTAAGAACAAAAACACAATATAAACCAATTTGAGCAGCTACTAGAAGTAACATTAGATTAGAGAAAAAGATGAAGCACTCTATTTCCATTTCTACCTCCTATATGGAAGTTGCTTGGCTTCCAGTACAACTCCATTGGTGCCAAAAAAGTCGTACCTACCTCCTGTATTCAAATCAAAATTTATGGAACCTCCTTCAACCTCAACCTTGACATCTTTTTTTCGTTCTTCGTCTCCCAATAGAACTGACCCACCTGCCTTCCAATCAATATTGTTAAATACAGTCTTCTCCATAATGTTTTCATGCCTCTCTTCTCCATTCATATTGTCCATGAGATTTGATATAGCCAAGTTGAAGTTGGTGAGTTGAGCTTTTGTTGCTTCCAGACTGCTGGGGCAATTCATATCTAATGAGAGGTTCTTTGAGCTTTCTCTAGTATTGTTTGCAAATACTTCCCTTGGGCTTCTATTCTCATCTGCAATTTCTTTTGTACCTGTAGTAATGAGACAGTTTATTCATTAGATGGCCAAAATGGACTGTGTCAAGGAGCAAAAGATTAGCAAACTATGCAAACAGAACGCTGAAAGGAATTGAAAAAACCTTGACTCAATATGTACCTCTAGCTGTTCCTGTAATCTTTTCTGTACTTCAATCTGACTCGGTGCCTCCGTAATTTGGATTGATCTGCTTAGGATGCAACATCCACCATCGCGGAAAAGAGACAACTTTCATTATGAATGTAAAGACTAGAGAATAAAGTAAGGCTGAATAAGTACATGTAAGCTATCTTCCACATTATCACTTATGATGCCAGTATTACCAAAACATAATGCTGTCTTCAAATTTTAAGGATATAGATCTAATGGTTGCCTGGGAACACAATGTAATTATATTACAGTAGCTCAATTATGGTAGCACATACCCTGGCTCACTGTTCACTCCTGATGAATTGCTACTGGTGCCTGAGCAATGCATAGTGTAATTTCCATAGGAATTTCCTGGAACACACAAAGCATAATGCATATGAGAATCTGGAAAAGAAATAAAGGGGGAGTTTTAGACAAGAGACCGGACAGAGAGACAACATTCGTGAAATATTTGGCCACTGAGGGATTCCCAAAAATTCAGTGACTGCTAGTCTGAGCTCATAAAATATAAGTGGGTGAGTTTGCAGTGCAACATCATGTTGTTTTCTGTTGAAAAGGTTGAACTTTCGAAAAAAACAGGTTTAAGCTAAAAGATGACCTAGTGACTAGCAGTTTGAGCCATCTCTGCAGGCAAATACTTTAGCTATTTATCCAGTGTCGTAATGGACTCACCACTGTTCTCTCTGTTTAGTTCTAGTGTGTCCTGTTTCTTGGCCTGCTGTCCAAGTCTGTATTTTCTACACATCCAAAATTCAAGAAATACTTCAGCAATGGTTCATCGAAAAGAAGGGGAAAAAAGGAGAAAAGGAGAAAAGGAGAAGCATAAAGTAAAGATATACCTGTAAGTGGCTCTTTAGATGATACAATGTCAAGCCCTTCAAGCCCATCACCCTCAGCACTGACTTGGGAGTTGCTTCTGCACATAAAATATACTTTCCACATTAAGCACACATTAAACTTGGTGCTAAGATAGTCATCCAAAAAGTTCCAGCTTTTTGGTCTTTGTGATGATATTGTGCCATCTACTTGAGTTCACTAGCCACAAAGTTTCGTAATCTTAAGCATTTGGCCCTCTTGGTTTTCAACATGACAGACAATTACCAGAGTATAGAGAAGAACATCATATACGGTTAACGAATGAGATATATGCAGGCTGCAGAAGTTGGAATTTGCATTTTTCACCAAGTCACTTAGCCAACTTCTGAGGAGACAATAATATAGATACTTGGATGAAAAAGAAGGCATCAATTGGATTCTCAGAGGTCGATGAACAGTCTACCTAAAATCTTCTTTTTTGGGTAAGTTGCCTAACTTAATTGATGACACATGAAAACATTAGTTTTGAACTTACTATGGGGTCATTTGACTATTGAGTACTAGATCAGTAATCCAGTAAAGAGCCTAAGGAACCATAACTAGTCTTAGGCAGAGTCAAAGCAGGCTTTGCCAAACAAATAAATGCCTCATGAAACTTAGATGTTAAACATGAACTTTGCCAAACATGTCATTTACAGTTTTCCATCAATAAACCCTTTTACTGCCTAATTCAGATGACTACCACAGCCCTCACAAAGTTCATTTTATTCAGTCTAATTCCTTATGAAACAGAGTTCTAGTTGCCAAGGTAGCAGGATCATTCTCAATGTAATTATTTTCTTTTTCTATAACATTGTTACAGATAGCTGCATTTTCAAAGGTTTACACCATAGAAGATTGTTTCTGTAAGTGTACTCTTAATGTCATTGTAAGGACTCTACTTGCATCTGTTTACATTTGCAGATTCAGTCTTTCTGTGATGGGTAACCCTGCCTACTTTCTCCGATAGACCAGGACTTTATGCAATGGGTAAAACATATGATTGCCTTGGTGTTTCTACAAAATTATTACCATTAGAAAGAGGAATTCATGTTGAAAATTATGTTTAATGAAGTGAATATCATAAAAAAGAGATTAAAAGTTAGCATAGAGAGACGGAGAGAGACTCACTGTTCGGTCCACCAAGCTTAGTGACAGCATCAACAAAGCGATCATGAAGATCAGCAGTCCACCTCAGCCTTGGCTTTGGGTCTCTTGTCATCACCACCCCACCACATCCACTCTCATATGGATAACAACCACCTCCTCCACCACTTCCACCGCCACCACTACCACTACCATACATTCTCTCCATCACCAGTAGTACCCACTCAACTGCACCACACACAAGCTCTAAATTACCCACTTTCTCTCTCCCTCTCTCTTCAAAACATATTCAACTTCTTCAACCAGCTTTTACTCTTTAGTCACCCATTTTCCTGGAGAATGAATTCAGAACCCAAAAAGCTAAAAGAGCAAAGAAGAAGAAAGATTTTGTGTACAAGAAGCTACAAAGGGTAATGATGTTTGATAATTCTAATTGTTCCTAGCAAATAGAATTTCTCAAGAAGATCAAAATTGGAAGAAAAAAAAATGCAAGCTTTCAAATGAGAAGAGAGAGAAAAAGTCAAGAACAGGGTTGGGAGAGATTCTCGGAGGCTAGAAAGCAACTGATTCAATGATTTCAACTCTTTCTGCTGAAGAAAGAGAATAAGTGTTTAAATAAAATGAACGTGGGGAGGAAATATCGGCGACGAATCTGAAGAAACATATGATAGACGAAAAAACAAACTAAGAAATCAATAGCAACCACTGTGTATTTCACGAGTACAATGTCTTGAATCATGGGCCGTCAAATTGTGGGACTTTTTGGGTTCTCTAAGGTTAAGATTGTCAAATGCTTACAAAATTAAAAGTTGCGGGTCTTCTTTAAATCATTTGCTTTATAAACGAATAGATCCGACATAACATAATTGATAAACGAATTGATATAATTGAAATCAATCAAAAATACATGATACAATTTGCTTATATACTAATTATACATTATTCATATAAGACACAGACCCGATATG